AATCATCAGTCACAGTAGGAATTTGCTCAATGAAGTAATTCAAATAAAATTGCTCAATGAAGTTAAATTAATCAATCTTGGTTGTGTCAGTCCAAGTAAATTTAATTATATATGATCTGAGGTTTTAAGAAAACTTTGAAGGATGGAAGCATTTTTAAAAGGTGGAGAGGAGATAAGTCCATACTTTCCACTTGAAGGAAAAAGCAAGGCAAAGGTTTGGACCAGACTGCCTCACCCACCAGTGGCACTGTGAGCACAGACATCCAGGTAGTGTATGCCAAAATGTTTTCCCCAAAACAATTGTGTGAAATTGAACACTGTATTTATTTTGGAAAATGATTTTTCCATGATCTTTTCCTTATTCATCCTGGATCATTCTTCTAAAAGACTCATGGTGACACTAAGTTGGTAGAATGAGACCAAGATATGCCCCTTTGGGGCAGGGTTCTTCTATACACAGCATCATGTCTCTTCATCTCAGACTGTTAGAGCTTGCCACACCAGCTTTCTCTCTTCAACTACAAGTTTAAACTATCTTTAGAAGTTTTCCTTGGGGTCTCATTTTAAGGAATACAGTATTGCTGTGCATAAAATAGCTCCCTTGTTAAAACAAGGATAAGATCCAGTGGATATGTCATGAAGACATCCCCACTGCAAGCAAATATGATATTTGCCAGGGGACTTCCCTATTTCAGATGGGTAACCCTTGTTTGACTTCCCATGCATATGTTTCCACTCTACAAGAAATCTCACCTAGATCTTTAAAGATGGCAGAAACACCCTTCACTTAGCAATATATCGGTATTATTGAGATTGGGAAAGTATAAAGTAATGACAAATGACCATAGTAAGTGCCAGCCTCAATTGCAGCTTCTCAAACATCCATTGCATAATCCCATTATGCAAAGTGATTTCATGATTGACATCAAACTGTTTAGATTTAATACATGTGCATGAAAATAATTCATTGTTTCTTAGGCAGAAAATGGTGGTGTAATTAAAAGTTAACACCGGACACATTTGCTAGGCAAGAGTAGATCCTTGTTTCTAACCTTATCAAACCAAATAATCTTTTACTTTAAATCCACACTCCCATACCATAATCAACCTTTCTGGCACCTCTGAGCAAGACCGAGCCAAGAGACTGATTCCAAATGTAGCAAGTAATAGAAATCCCTGTAAAGTAGTACTAATTCAGTATTTTATCACATAAAATACTGTGAAGGAATGACTTTGTCTCTCCCAATGTAACAATAATTAGAAAGGTATATGTTAGGGGCATTTACTTAAAATGTAGTGGTGGGTATTTGACCCTAAAAAACAAAGATGCAGTCAGAGCTTTATGTGCAGGATGTTCACCCAGTGTTATTTACAATAGAATATTTTTTAAATTAAATCTCCAACAATATAAGTTAAATAAATTAAAGTTCAGCCACGTAATGGAATTCTATAGTCATTAAAATCTTTCATAGCAATATTACTTGACATGAGAAAATGCCCATGATCTTAATGGGAAAAAATGATTACCAAACAGAATGTTTATTATGATCCTCAATACATAAACACTGTATATATGTTGTCAATGTCAAAGACCACCAGGACCATACAAGTAGTTGACCAAGTTGGGTTCATTTTTCATTGCAGTAAGGGAGAACACACACCATGGAGAACTAAGGCACATGTTAATAACAAAATGTTAAAAATCATATGGGTTTGTATTAAGTGCTTTGGGGAAAGGTTTATGTAAGTGAGCTTTTCTCCAGATTGGATGTCATCAGCGAGCAGGGATAGTTTTATGGTTGAATGGCTTAATAAATCTTTATTGAGAGAGAGAGAGAGAGAGAGAGAGAGAGAGAACTAGAACAAGACTAACACTGTAATTTGTGTTTTAAAAGGCTATAATAGTCACCTATATTAACCAGAATAAGAACCTGTTTAGTCATTTTTGTGGTTTGGACAAGGTTCATGTTTGGTCTGTGTTCAGACATGGTTATAGAGTGGTCTTCGTTTTGTCTTAATACTTTGCAGTTACAGAACACCCTTATCTGACATCAGCATTTTAGGAAATGCTTTAGGTTCAACCAGAGAACACCAAAGCTTAGTTGTGGGTGCCAGAACAGCTCCTAGCAACACTACGGCCCAGCTGATAATGCCAGGCCAGCTCTTGCATGTCAGGAACTGATTTTCTTTCTACACACATATACAGAGAAGACTAGAATTACGGTAACTATAATAAATTAGGTGGGTTTTATATTCTAGGTGCTATTTTAAGTATTTTACATCTTCTAATCCATTTAAATTACCACAGCAACTCTATGGGGGTGGTACTATCGCTATTCCCATTTTCCAGAAAAGAAAACTGTGGCATAAACAGGTGAAGTTACTCACTAAATACCATATATGGTGGCCAATAAATAGTGGAGCAAGGACTCAACTCAGTGGTTCTAGAACCAAAAGTCTTAATCTCCATATTATATTATCTATGTGTACAAGTAATTATTAACAGTGATTCCTTTTTTAAAGTGGTGGGAGTACAGAGGATATGGGTGTTTTGTTTCCTTCTTTTTCTTGTTAGTTCCTAAATGACTAATATTAATATGCATTAATTAAAATCTAAAGAGGTAATGTAATTAATGAATGGATTGATGGACTCTGTTCCCACTGCGATGTTCCCAAAAGCAAATCCAAGTCTTTTGCAGTGGCAATGCTCCCTGAATGTCAAAAGAAAAATAAGGAGACCCTCATGGGTCTCTCTCTCTCTCTCTCTCTCTCTCTCTCTCTCTCTCTCTCTCTCCATTAACTGTATTACCCACAATAAAAACCGGTTAAAGACCCACTCTCAGGCAGTTCTGTCTCAGAATGAAAACAAGCAGGGTGGCAGTTCCCCCGCAGGGGACAGTTAGAAATAGCGTTGGGAGGACTAGCCATGTCTTGGTCTCAAAGGAAGGGCCCTTTCTTTGTGGGAGGACAACACGCCCACCCTGGCCAGCTGAGCAATGCTGATTGTCTCAGGTTCTAAGATTCAGCCCAGGGTACTGAGAGAGGACATGCCTGCTCTTCAGCCTGCATAAAGGCTGACATTAAAAGGCCAGAAATTCTAAAGAGGAAAACTAAGGTTGGGGGCAAATCACTTGGAAGTACTGTACAAACAAAGACTTCAGAATGGAAAGAGCTTCGCCAAAATAGTAAAGGTTCCCAACTACACCTGTGGGCTGGTTTCCCTTTCCCTTCTCTTACTTTGTCCCTGCGCGGGCATCTGGGCACATGAAACAACCCTGTTCCTTCGCTGCAAAGAGACCGATTTTAGGTCTCCTGAGAGGTGCCCACCCACTAGATGCCGCTGGCTCAGAGCTGGGCTCGCAGTATTTCCCATTGCCACTCCCCCCCTCCCCATCTTTCCCTCTGCCCCTCTGCCCCTCTGCCCGGGCTGAAAGCCACGCAGGGCATCCACCCTGCCATTTAGCACCTCCACTGCTCGATGGTGGGTGGTTTCCCAAAGCGTTTGCCCTAGCAGCCGCTCTTGCTCGGCCTGCCGCTTGCAGGGGCACAAGTCAATGAGGCTTTTCCCTCCGCAATCATCGTGAATCAGCAAAGCGCTGCAGAGCAGCGATGCCTCGGCAAGCAGAAATTAAAATGCTGGGGGAAGGGCGCCAGTGGAGTGTGGCGGGGGAATTTCTAGCCCCTTTCCCTCCTGAGAAAGTGTCCCTCCTGAGGGTGGCGTTAGGCAGCGGGCCAGGGCTGGGTGTTGGGTGGAAGCTGCCGGACTTAGGCGTCCAAGGGAGAAAGAGCGAGCAGGGTGGGGAAGAGCGAGAATGAGCAGCAAAAGTGGACGAGAGGTGGGTGAACGGACCCAGGGAGCACAAGCCGATCAGGGCGCGGTGTCCCCGGGGTGGACAGCCCATCACTTGCAGGTGTTGCTGTCGGAGTGTAGACGGGAAGGGAGGAGAGCTTCAAAAAGAGGAATTCCCAGCCTGCGACTTCCTGTTTCCAACGTGCAAGTTCCCAAGTTCAGTTTGAGAAGTGGTGGGCCACTTGGCACTGGGGAGTCTAGGATGGGAACGTTAGGAATTGCCGGAGTTCTCGCTCTCTCCTCTCTCCTCCTTTCTCTCCCTCTCCCCTCTCCCCTCTGCCCTCTGCCCTCTCTCCTCTCTCCTCCCTCCCTGGCTCCCTCTCCCTCCCGTCCCTATTCCGTCTGCCTTCAGCTTTGATTAATATGCATGTCCACGCTCAATAGTGCGGGCCACACTCCAGAAACCGCACCTCTGGCCGCCACTGCCTCCCACTCAACTCTTGGCCCTGGGAAGCGTGGGGTAAGGCCAAACGCTTGGAGCGGAGAGCCTGAGGACCCCTTCTTCGCGCCCTGGTCCCCGCCCCTCTCCTCGGCCCGGACGGTGCGCCTCAGTGACCCACACTCCAAGATCTGCCTCGATTTGCCCTGCGGTGGGTGAACCCGAGGGGTTGGAGCGCGCTGAAACAAACGCGCTAAATTGTACCTGTGCGTGGCCGTTCCCGCCGCCGCCGCAGGTCTATCCCGGGCCGAAGCCGGCGCCCGCCTTCTCAGGGAATTCTCCCGAGGAGGAGCGCGAGGGGAACCACAGTGGCTGCCTGCTAGCTCACGCTGGCGCGCGCACGCCCAACTTTGCCAAGCCGTCGGCGCCCCCCGGGCTCCCCCGCGCCCCTGCGCCTTGACAGGCTAGGAAACCTGTGTCTTTCCAGGTCCGAGATAAGGTTTCCCCCGCTCACAAGCTCGCGTGTGGAGGAAGAGTGGAGAGTGTAAGGGAGAGAAGGGGGTTAACTACCGCTCCCTGACCAGCCTTTCCCAAACACTCTACACCCGCAGGGGCGCCCGAGCCAGCCCCGCCGCACTAGGTCCCCCAGACTTGCCAGTGAGGACAGAGAGAGGAGGAGAAGGCAGGGCGAAGAACCCGGTGCCCAGGAGCCCTGGCGACAGACAGTTCCACCGAGGGCACTTTTATTACTGGGGGATTGGGTGGGGAGATTGGGGGGCAAGCAGCAAAACTGCCCAGCCCCAGTGCACTCCGGAGCCGTCCTAAATGAGGGCGCGCGAGGAAAATTCTCCACGGACACATTTGGGGTGAACGTGTTCCAGACGCACAGCCAGAGCCCAGGGTCCTGCCGAAGCTGCAGTGTTGGGGCTATGGCTCTTACTTGGGAGGAGGCGCGATTTCCACCCTCGAGAGTCTTGGCTCTCCCCACCCCCTCTCGGCACCAGCCAGTACGCGCCACCACCTGAGCCTGGCGTGAGCCCGGGCGCTCGCTGTCTTCAGCCAGCTCCTTTCCGCCTCTGGGGAGACTCAGCTCTAAGCGGGTGCGCCCGACGCCCCCAATTCCCACGGGAGAACTCTTTACTTTTTGTTGGGAAGATCCGGGCCATTTCTTTATTTATCTCTGGGTCTCCCCAGAGGAGGACAGGGGAGGGGAGGGCGAGCGAGGCGGGCCGGGCCGGGGGAGGGGAGCACTGCGAGGGGAGGGGACTGGGTGTAGCCTGGAATTCTCAGTCCTCGTGTTCCTGGGCTGGCGCGCGGAGTCTCCCGGAGATAGCGCCGCCGCCGCCGCTCCCCGCGCCACCCCGTCGTTGGCCTCGGGGATCGGGTGAGTGGGGTCCTGACGCGCCGCGGGGGCTGCCCCGGGCCCCGACCGCGCTCGCGGCAGCGCAGCGGGAAGCCCCCCGAGCGGGGAGGCGGCCGAGGGTGGGGAGGGCACTCGGGGGAGGGCGGAGTGGGGGCGGCGCGGAGGCCGCCAGGCTGGGGGGCTCTCGGGGCGGGCGCGGCCGCGGGCAGGAGGGCGTGTCTCCACCCCGAGGGGACCCTCCCGAGGCGCGGCGCGGGACTCTCCGATGGTGGTGCCGCGGCTCCGGGAGAGCTCAGGGTCTTGCCTCAGCCGTCGCCGCCGTCGCCGCTGCGGGCGCCACCACCACCGCCGCCGCCGCCGTCGCCGCCGTCGCCCGAGCCCGCGCCGAGCGTGCGCCTCGCCCTCCTCCCGCGCCCGCTCTGCTCTAGGATGCTGCGGCAGGTTCTGCACAGGGGCTTGAGGACGTGTTTCTCCCGGCTCGGCCACTTCATTGCCAGTCACCCGGTCTTCTTCGCCTCGGCGCCGGTGCTCATCTCCATCCTGCTCGGCGCCAGCTTCAGCCGCTACCAGGTCGAAGAGAGCGTGGAGCACCTGCTGGCGCCCCAGCACAGCCTGGCCAAGATCGAGCGCAACCTCGTCAACAGCCTCTTCCCGGTCAACCGCTCCAAACACCGGCTTTACTCGGACCTGCAGACCCCTGGGCGCTACGGCCGGGTCATCGTCACGTCCTCTCAGAAAGCCAACATGCTGGACCTGCACCACACCGACTTGATCTTAAAGGTGAGAGAGGGGCGGGTGCGGGCAGGCTCCGCTGGCGCGGCTGCCGCGCGGGGCTGGCTCTGCGCGGGGTCCCAGCTGAGAGCGCCGCCTTTCCTACCCTAGGCGGCTGCGGCAGGGGCTCCCCTGCACTGCGCGCCCCCGGGCGCCGCCCGGAGCCTCCTGGCCTCCCCGTCAGGGAGCGCCCGGGTCGAGCCCAGCCCTACCCGCACACCCTTTGCCACCACCCCGCAGCTGCTGCAACAGATGGGGCGGCGGCGGCCACGGTGCTGTGGTCCAGTGCGCTTGTTTTGGTCGCAGTGGGCTTGGGGGCGGGGAGACTTTGGGGTAACTGGGCCAAGCAGCAGCAGAATGAGAGAAGACATTCAAGAAAGTCCCGCTGCTACTTGAGAACAAAACATAACGGGGGGGGGGGGGGACCGCTCCTCTGTCCCCAATTTTTTTTTCTCCTTTCCTCGGGTCCCCGAAGTATTTTGGGGAAAGGCTACTGGGGCGTGGGGAGGGGGCAGAGGAGTGGGAGACGGTACAGTGGGGAAAATGCCTCCCACTCACCCAGAAAAAAGTGTAGTCCCTGATGAGGACAGTGACTGCCCTGCTGCCCTCTCCTCCCCAGCAAGGTAGCCATATCTAAGTAGGAAATGTTTGTGATTCGCAGTTATTTCGTGCTTCACAATAGCTTCTCCTCTGAGATGCACAAACTTCTTTAAGAAAAGAAGGAACCAGTGGATCGTCCACTTTGACTTGATGCATTTAAGCTTAGAGTGAGGGTCAGAGCCGAGCCGGGAGGTTGAGGGCAGAAGCTGACCTGGGTAGCCCTGAGAAGAGCACAGGACATACAGCAGCTGGTTAGAGGGTGGCACTAGCTGAAATCAGTTGTGCCATCAGCCTGAGGTGAGAATTTGATGTAAAAAGGGAAGTTAATGGTGATAACTTTCAAGAAGTTCCAAAGGAAAACAGAAGAGTGAGGACTAGAGATGGAGAAGTGGAGAGCGTGGGAGAGAAAAGGGAAACTAGGTGAGAATGTTTCCTGTGAATCCCCGGTGGGGATTGTGGGTTTGTTTACTTCAGGTTCTCCTCTGGAGAGAGCAGGCAGGAACCAATCCCAGCTAGGGCTTTCGTGCCCAGGGATAGAAAGTGCTGGTTTTATTTGGGTCTCTGGTCCAGATCTGGGACTGGAAGTGAATTAGATTTCGAGTCTACTTGTGCCCAAGAAGACACTGCTAGTGAAGCTGGGGAACCTTCTTCTCTTTTTCTCTCCAGGTCACAGTTTATCCCTAGAGACAAGCTAATTTTCCTCTATTATCCCCCCCCCTTTTGTTGACATGTTATCAGTCAGCAATTAGTAAAGAGGGGAATCTGGCTGGAGACTCAATGGAATTAAAACCTTCCACAATGAGTGGCTCATGATGTTTTTAATGGCACACAAATCACCACACATACTTATTGTAGAACCTTATCAACATTAATCCTGAGATGTTCGCTTTTCTCTTGATTATACTTCCAACATCAGAGTGTGTTTTTTTAATACTTGTGAACATATGTTGACACACAGATAAATACTGTTCCAAATGCTTTCCCAAGAAAACAAGTAGTAGATTCAACACAGGCTTAAGGAAACTAGAATTTAGCCAACCCTGACAGTTGGAAATGCCCCATTTTTTGATAAATGATCTATTAAATGATGTTTCTCTTTGAAATTTTTTTCCCTGAGATGTTTCCACTGGCCTTTTTCCCCCTAACAAACCATCACACCACTGTAACGAGCAGAGCAGTCAGCAGTTACATTCACTCTCAAGGTTAATGAGACATCAACAGGCACATCAGATCTCTTTCAACTGGATTCTTTCTCCTTATTTGATTTTGATCAGTTCAGCAAATATTGGGACTGGAGAGAGGGAGGCCGCCCCCCCCCAAAGGCAACTTTAAATGACACTGGTGGAGTTAGTGGACTGTTTTAAGAAATGGGATGGCTTTTCATGGTGTAGGTGTTTGAGTGAAATCAAAACTAAGCCAAATAGTGGTCAGAACTCATTTCTCTCAGGTGGCTCTCTGGTCAAATGAGTTCATACAGCTTATTAAAAACCCAAACTTATGAACCGTAGAGAATTGCCTTTGATTTTAAATTATACGTCCTTTTCCTCCCTACATCTAACTCTATTTTGGTAGGTATGGAGCAGGGGGATAGGAAAATGGACCTTCAGTAGTCATGGTAATGTAAGGTGTGGGAGTGAGCACTTTTTTTTTCTTTTTCCATTTAGAGACATGATGACTTGTCCTTTAGGAAAGGTGTTTTGAGTGAAAGAGCCACTGTTACTGTAGTAACTGGTGTTATTCTGATACATAGTTATTGGCATCAAGGTTAACATCAACAGTTAACACCTACACAATACCAAACAGCCCCTGCTTGTTTTGTGGCATCTCATTCAGAGTAAAATGAAGTGGGCAGCTCTTACGCAGGATTTGAGGCTTTCTCAGGACTACCAAACTGGAGGAAGAAACCTGTAGATTTGTGTAGGGTATTTCAAACATAATGTTTTCTTTTCATGTTTTGGGGCTGTACCTATCCAATGAAGGCAATCCTTCTTGGGATATTAGTACAGATACGTGCTGACTAAAACTAGACTGAGCGAGGATAATGACAAAAATTTGAAAAGCCACACTGACTTTTTAAAAATGTAATTGAGAGTATCACAGAAAAAAATCTATTTTTGAAAATCTCACTCTCCTGGTTCAAAGGTGATCTCAAATTTGTACTAGTGACATGATTACCATACTCTGTTTTATAGAATTTGATCCTGTAGGGAATGAATCTCTCTACAGTGCTTTCCTCTGAAGGCTTCGGGCCAAAGATATAATTTGGGGCAAAAGTGGATGGAATCTGATGGTCACTGCTAAGGGCTCAGCCATTAATTTTTGAATTGTTGATCTTCAAAAGTCGTCATTAAGCTAGAAAATTAAATCGCTCATTATAACTTTTAACAGAAAATCCATGATGTTCATCTCAGAGCAGATTTGAAAGTAGGGCCTCACAAGCTTTATGTGGATTTCTTTTCATGATCATGTAAAAATAAAGTATAGGAAGATCCCATTGATCATTGATTTCAGCTGTGATGAACATAATACTTGATTTATCCCAGAGTCATCCACATAGAATGAAGAATCAGTGTAGCTGAGTTCTTATGATAATGTTATCACCTTTAAAACACTCTATAGGTAATAAATATACAGTATGTTTAAGTATGATATGCCAGGAAAAGTATCCCATTTTGCAGATGAGAAACGTACTCCTTAGAAGTTAACTGATTTGTCCATGAAAAAAGCACAAGGACAGACCCAGGACTGGACACGGGGTTTTGGACTTCAAACCCCATGCTCTTTTCACTATAATTTACTGCCTTTCATATGATAAGCTACTTGAATGATTTAAAGTATATATTTTGTTATCCAAGTAAAGTACACTTGACCAAAGTCAAATATCCCATCCCATGATGTTGTTCCAACATTTGTAATTGAATAATAAGGACATTTTCTTGGCTTGTTCTGTCTGGTGTGGATGAAAATCTACGTACAGAAACTACAAATCCCCAAAGTAAAGCATTAGATATTTGTAATCAGCAATATACAAAGATAAAATATGTACTGGAAAAATCACTGGATGATTGAATATAGTTGTTTCCTGTTAGACTGCTGTTCATTGGCAGGCTCCAGGTGGGTTCAAGTCTAGGGCATCAAACAATCCCTTGCAGATCGTAACTATTCAATAGATACTTGTTGAATGGACCTCTCCTAGTTTACTAAAACATTTACTGATGGGTAGAGAAAATTCTATAGAAACTACTTTGAAATGTATTTTAAATGAAATTTTTATTTTACAACAGTACAGGCAATTTTTAGGCTTCTCTTTTTCCAAGACACCAGTTTCCCTTCTTTGATAACCTCTGTAGTCATATCAAAACATATTTTGTTTTTACACTTGGATAGGAACATTTCCTTTGAACAATACCCTCTTCTTCGGAACTCAGGACATTTAATTCCGAACCAAGGGAAGGACACATCCTCACTAAGCAGATGTTCTTTCACATATTAGAGAATCTCATCATGTTCAAATATGAAGTTTCTGTTTTATTTAAACCTTTTATGTTTAAATACATTAGATAGAATTAAATTGCAAACAAAATTAATAGAATTTAACTTGGAGATATTTAATTTCAGGCTTTCCAAAAAGGGCAGCTTAACTGCTTAGCTCGAAGTCACAAAGACCTGGCAGCTGTATCAAATTCCAAGTTTTCCCAAATACTGTATCAACACTTCTGATCATTACTGGAATTACCGTCATTTCTTCCTTTACAATGTAAGGATAGCAAATTCCAGCCAATTTTTGAGCTTGAATGTATTTTTATATTTTTAAAAGATTATAAGCCAAATAAAAACAAGACCATACATCAGGGACTTGTGTGGCTCAAAAAGCCTAAAATATTTACCATCTGGTTCTTTACATGCAATGTTCTTATACTGTCTTCCAAAATTCTTTTACCTGAGCCATGTCAGGATGTCGACACTGTTAAAATAACTCATAAAGCTGTTCTCAACTGAGGGTAATTATGACCCCCTGGGGGACATTTGGCAATGCCTGGAGACATTTTTGGGGGTTGTCACAGTGGTAGGGGTAGACTATGCTACTGAGATCTAGTGGGTAGAGGCCAGAGATGCTGCCAAACATCCTGTAATGCATAACATAATCCCCAGGACGAAGAATTATCTGACCCGCAATGTCAATAGTACCAAGATAGAGAAATTCTCCTTCTTATGTGTTTCTTTTTATTAGTTTTTACAGATACACTGATTATGTAAAATGAAAAAATGTCAAAGAGAAGTTCACATGCAAAAATCTTACAGAACTTTGGAGATAAATATTGCAACTGTGAGATGATGCTGGCTTGGACAACTGGGCAGACACCAGATTTCCCAGTGTAATCATCCCCAGGATGCAGTTATCTTTGCTT